CGCTTGATCTTCACCAATCCTTACGAGACTTTGTTACATAGTACTGTTGTTTGCCATCGTTTTATCACTGATTCGTAGAATTTTATTGGGCCATCAGCGAAATTACAAAGTTTCACGCAATCTATGATCAAGTTGCGTGGGCACTACATCAGATGTTTTTCTAAAGTCGATCCAAGCCATGGCCAAGTTAGTTTTTCTCAGTTTGTAGTCCTAAATATCGCCTTGTTTGCGACTGACTAGTTTTTGGGTCCCCTTGATCTTTACAAGTGCCCTGTCTATTCAGAAAATATGATTTTGTTATTCTTGACATGTTGGTAAACTGCAATGGCTAATAATTTCAGATTTCAAGAGTTTCCAGGTCGTCGGAAAGCGCTTAATCAGCTTGTCAGTCAAGTTATAACTTCTGCTGTGGTCATTGAAGACTCTGTGTTTAACTACTCTCCTTAACAAAGTAAGGGTCTTTTTTGAAGCACTCTCTCCGAGGATACTGCTATTCGTGAACGTAAAGAAATTGGTCGTTTAAGACAGAACGTTTTTCTTCCTGTTTGCTGATGATTAATTTTAGCCTTGGACGACCGTAACCGATCCTTCCTAAGTGCTCATCATATCGAATTTGTTTCGAACTTGCGATAAAGTTTATTCTTTATCATAAGAGCCGTCGGATATTCCATATCATTGATGGAATCCAAATTGCTGGTATCGTCTTGAGATAATTGTTAGCTTGACTGATATTTTCGCGCATTTTTCCTTGACTCTGAGAGAAGGGATATGTACTTTAGCTTCTTCCAGCTGTTTTAACTCCTGGAAAGCCCTTGCGAAGTGACTTTCGTTCATAATTTAGCTGCATAACTTCTGTGTCATAAGCCACCGCGATTTCTAGTCTCAAAAGCTTGTGTGGCTGATTCTATTAACATACTGAGTTGGATGATCTCAATTTTAAAAACAGAAAGACTGTCTAAATCGTAACGGTCGACCAATAGACGTGAATAGAAAAGAAGAAACCCACATGAGTTGTTCAACTTGGCTAAATTTGTTGCCCCATGCCGCATAGTAATAAATCATGTGATTCCACCACTCATCGTAATTTCTTATGTACGTGTAATGGTAATGTGACGTTCCCTTAAAAGATCTTTTCCATCATTTTATTTAGCGTAGTATTTATTAATTGCTAAGGCGACTGTAACACAAACACGATCTCATACTTTGCAATGCCCACTGGAGCGCTACGTCATTTGTGACTCATACAACATGTAGCGTTTCATTTGGCGATGCAAAATTGTTGAGAATCTTGCTCTGGAATTTTAGCGCTCAGCTACTTCCTGATTTCATATTAAAGAAACAAGTTCGACAGGTCTTTTACGGGATAACATCATTCGTAGAACTATTTATTTATGTATTCTCAAAAGTTCGAATAATGCTCTATTTGGCCTCTGGGAGAGACATATCATATGGCATATACTACGTTGCAGTATGCATCTTGAACTCTCTGACTGGTATATGTTTTCTAAACTCAGTAAATATGTTGTTTATTTAAATTCTTGATTTTATTTTAAACCAATGTCTGAAACAACTTGAAAATGTGTTGAAAGATAGTCTACTTAATGATGTACAAAAGACTTTTAACAAAGTAAATTTGAATGTGATCTGTCTCTGTCAGTAAGTCTCATTAATTAATAAACCGTAATTTGAATGACAATGTTCATAATTTATTTGAATTAAGATTAGTTGCATCTTAGAATGTAGCGCCGGGGGGGGATTTAATCTTTAATTCATCGAAGATCATTTTAGAAACTAGCGCAGTCTGGTGCAGAATTTAAAATTTTTATTTTAATTCCCACTGATCCAACAACGCACACAGTTTTGAAAGTTTTGTCTAAAGTTTAAAATGTAGTATTTCGTCTTCTAATAGCCCTGTGCCTCGGTAGTGATTATCGTAGTTGATTTTCAGGTTCAAACAATATTGGTTATAAAGGCGAGCAAGAAAATTGTGGGTGTTTTAAAATAAGGCGTAAATGCGGCGTGTGCAGCGTTGCTTTGGCAATATCGGCTGCGCTACGACGACGGCAAGTTGTTTCGAAAGTAGTGATTATAGCGACTGTTTTTCTGCTCTCTGGTATATCATAAATTATTATGTTCTGGAACGAAGCGATGGCGACGACGTTGTGTGCGTACGCCTGCAGATGATCGTTCGTGGTGGTTCGTTCGCTCGCAGGGTCTTGGCCAGTTGCCGTTTTGTTAGCTTCTTCGTTGTCACAGTGTCGT